TCTGCCCCAGGCCCTGTCTACACTGGGCAGCATGAGCCCTGTCTCAGGACTGCTGCTTTGTTCCCATAGTGGGGTGGGAAGGGGGACACAAGCCTAAAATGGACCAAAGCTGCCCCTCCCCAAACAGTCTAAGCTGGTCTCCTTTCTTCCCCTCTCCACCCCCTCACCAGACTGGGGCCAGGACAGCACCCTGGCCCCAGCGCCAAGCTGCTGGAGGGAAGAGAGGAGGCAGAAGGTCCTGGGGGTGGAGTTGGGAAGGCCAGGAGAGGAGAGGCGGAGGGGTGTGTGGTGGGGCAGACCCCACTTGGCTGTGAGTGCAGGCACCTTGGGTTCTCCTTCCCCAGCAGCTCTGGCTCAGGGGTAGTGACACTGGCCTTGGAGCAGGCCTCACCTCCCTGACCCTTCCCCCACGCACACTTCAGTTGAGCTCCCCTTGGAGGATGGAGGGAGGGGCTTGTAGGGGCTGAAGTACAGGATGGAGGGGAGTCCTAGGAGGGGGAGCAGGTGCTTTCTCTCAGCAGCCTCCCAGGGGGAGGGGTGAGACCAGCCCAAGGCTCAGGGCCTATCTGAGCATGTCACCTGCTAAGGAGGAGCAGAGGCAGGGGAGGGGAGGGCGGGGAGGTGAATAAATAATAGGAAATAAAACTTCATGAAGCAGAAAATAAAAGGCAGATTATACAGATGTGGCAATTTGAAGGATCATTGCCTCTGTCCTCTTTTTAACTGCTGCATCTGGAGTTTTGAAGCAGCTTAGCCTCTCCCTCCCTCTGCCAGGTCCCCGCCTGGCTGGAGGCCCCCATGGGGCCAAGGCACGCATAGGGACAGCACCTCCAGTGGCTCAGCTGGTGGCACTTCCTAATGCCCCTCCCTGCTGCCCAGACCTGGGTGAGCCTGGGGCAGGGGTAGTGGGCGCCAGGGTGGGCTGGGTATTTCAGGGGTGAAGCCCTGAGTGAAGTGTGTCTGTGGCTGTGCTGTGGAAGGAAGGGGAATGTCTGGATTGGGGGTGAGGAGCACGGACAGGGCACGTGTGACAGGAAGGCAGTCCGATGATCAGGAACCGGGTGAGGATACCCCCTTGCAAAAGGGGGTTTGGGTGAGAGTTAACTGGGGTGAGGTATGAATCTCTCTGTCTCCATGCAGGCGATTTCTTTCTCCCTCTTCATCAAAATTCATTTGTTAAGCCTCAATTTGATACTGTGCCAGGTGCTATATAAACAGACATGGTCCCTGCCCTTAAGGAATTTCAAGCCTAAGACACACACACTGACATTTTTGTTTATTTTATTTTAAATATTAATATATTCCCCACCTTGTTCCAGAGAGGATTTGAGATAGCTCACAGGAAATGCATGCAACAAGTTAGTAAAGTATAAATAAGAAAGAAAGCATGAGGACCCCAGGAAATACACAGTGAGAGTGGCAGAGAGGGTCCTGAGTGGCTAAAGCTGAGCTGCAAATCAGCCTTGAGTCTCTTGGTGGCCAGGTGGAGGGGCTGTCAGTCACTTAGTCACTTACCTGACCTCATTCACTGAATGAGGGAGTCATCACTTCTCTGTCCTAATACCTCCTCCTAACCTCAGCCTGGGTCACACCAGACAGGGACAAAGACACCAGAAAACCAAAAACTTCCATCTGACACCAAAGGTGAGGCAAAGGCCCATCCACTCACATCTCATAATCCTGCTGTGTTGTCTTTCAAAGCAATGGACAAGCTGTCACAGAATCATTAATAGAAACAGGGGAGTCAGGAGGGGACAGGTTTCGGGGAGACAACATGAAGCTCTGTCTTACGTGTAATAAATAACATCCATATAGAAACTTACCATCTCCAGGAAGATTTACGGGGGCACGTCCTGCAGTAAGAACTCCAGGTCTGAAATTCTGAGCAGAGATCAGAGCTGGGGATTTAGGTTTAGGAGACTTCCCATAAACTATCCTGAAGGCCTGCAGCCAGCCAGCAGATCACCAAGGCTACACCTGTGGAAAGGCTGAGTACAGGGGTGGGAGGAGCAGGCTGTGCAAAGGCAGAAAAAGAACATTAAAGAAAGTAGAAGAAGCAGGGGGAGGTGGAGTGCTGGAGGCCCAGGAAGGGTAGCTTGAGGCCCTGGGGACCAACATGGAAACCAGCAGGCCCTATTCCTACCTTGGGAAGCTTATGTCCTACTGGAAGCAGACAGACAGAGGGGAGGGAGCATGTGAAAGTTACCAACTTTGATGTGACAGAGTAACTGGGAGAGGAGGACTTAGGGGAGGCTTCATGGAGGAGGTGGCAACTGGGTGTGTTTTATTCCCCTTCCCAGAACTAAGCTATAATCAGAATTTCTCAGCAGCTGGCCCCAGTCCACATCCTTTGAGTGATATTCCCTCCATCACACCCCCATCTCAGAAGGTGGCTCTAATTACCCAAGGCCCTGGCCCTTGTGACTGGCTCACAGATGGGCAGGCTAGAGGTGGGCTGCTCAAAGAGACACTATTCCTGGACTTGAGTTTGAAATGTCCATGAAGCAAATGTTCTTTGTGCTAGATTTGCACCAAGAAGAGGGAGTTGGGAGTGACTGGGGTCATCTCTGCACCATGAGGGTTGCTTTGCCTCTTAGGCCTGGTAGAGGGGTCCCAGAAGATCAAGAGAGAAATGGGGTCTGGCCCAGTGGAACTCTCGATTAGGCCTTACCAGACCTGCACATAGATTGTCCAGTTATTGGCACCAATAAATGTCTTCTTTTGCTAAAGCCCAATTGAGTTCAGATTTGTTACTTGCAACTTTCAGACAAAGGGAAAGCTGAGTGCAAAGCCCAGCCTCAAAGCAGGACTTGAGTTTTGAGGGCAGAACCTAAGTGGAGCTCAGGGGAGGGGAGGTGCATGTGGTAAAGGCCAGTGAGGCTGTGTACTAATACCTAACCTGCCAGGCTTTCCTTCTGTGCCAGGCATTGTTCTGAGATGTTTACATGCATAATTTCACTTAATTCTCAAAGGACCCTATGAAGTAAATGGTGTTATTATCCCCATTTTATAGAGAAGCAAACCGAAGCACAGGAGGCTGTTACTGGCCCCTGGTCAGACAGCTAGAAAGGGGACAGCTGTGACTGAGTCCCAGGAAGTCTGACTCTGGGGCCTGGCTGCGGAGGCCAGATAACCCTGGGCCTTGTGTGCCATCAGACCCGTCATGTGGGCCAAAGGTCACTGAGAGGTGAGAGTGATAAAGGCCGAGAAGACATAGGATTTGATGATTGAGGGTCATCAGTGGCTCCACTGGTCTGTCCCTTTTCAGGGAAGGGTGGGTGGAATCCAGTGTGCAACGTGTTCATGAGCGCTAGGTGTGCAAGGGAGGCAACCGGGTGAGGGGGACAAACAGCGGGCAAGACCACACACCTGTGGGTCTCAGCTACAGGAAGCAGAGTCAAATGCAGGTTCTTATTTTTTCTCTTTCCTCATGCTGGTGATAACAGTTGAAGTTGTTTGCAAGGTAAGATAATGAAGAAGTTGGAGAGTAGGCCTAAAGACCCAGGTGAGACCCCTAGGGACAGAGGGCATGGCCAGCAGGAAAAGCAGGGGCATCATGCCAGCTTGGGGAGGGAGTGGCAGGTCCTGGAATGCAGAGCGCCTCTCCTCCTCTGGAGAAGGGAAGAGGGAACAGGTGCGAGCCATAATTAGATGGCAAGGAGACACAGACATGCAGAAAGGTTGGAGGCAAAGGTGCTTGCAGTGGGTGGCTGGGTGGGGAGCCGTTATGGAGAGTGTGGCAATGCTTAAGAAAACCCTCAAGTAAGCAAGGGGGTCTGGGGGCAAGAGAGGAGGCAGAGCCATGTGTAGAGTCACCAGGTTGTCCCAAGTTTCTGGGCCATTGGGATTTTTAAAATCCCCTTTTCTCTGAATTTTCTATTTTAGTTACAGAAAAGTTGCACAAATAATATGGAGCATCTCCAGGCTATATTCTGACCCTAAGGATTGGCTTTACTCACACAAGTCATTTCATTTTCTTAAAGCAAGACTCCCAGGCTCTCCCCCAAGCCATGGGCCTGTTCCTCCTCTGCCCAGAAACCACACTCCTTGGCTGCAGCCTCATTCTTTACGATGTGGCCTCGGCCCAACCTAGTTCCCTGCTTCCCTCACCCCAAACCTCCAGCCCAGGCATACCCCACTGGTCTTCCCCATGGGACTCTGAGCCCCTGAAGGAGCAGATGCAGGCCTCAAGCCTTACTGATCTTTTACTCTTCCCTGGTGCCTGTTAAATAAATGTCATCAGCCAAAGGCCTGGAGAAGCCAAAATGCAGAGCCCAGGAAGAGGTTACACGTGGGGCATCAAGTGGGTCATGGAAGGCCCTGGGCCCTGCAGGCTGAGCTCCCCTAAATGGGAAAGGAGGAACGACCAGCCTTATGGAAGGCTGAGCTCAGCACCAAGAACCTATTCTCTCCGCTCTGGCAAAGTGATAGACAGTCACTCTCCGGTGGCAGAGGGAGGGAGGGCAGTGATAAAGTCAGATACACCCCAGGAATGAGACTGGTGGGTCACTCAGTTCTCGTTTCTATAGATCACCTGGGACAATTCTGTGATCTGTGAACTCCAGCCTGTTCCCCAAAAGTCTTCAGAAACCTTTTATCCTCTCCATCTGCAGGAAGACATCAAAGTCCCAACCCTTTGCTTGGCAGAGTTTCCCCCAGATGGTGGGAGGCCTAGCCTGGGCCACGTATGCTTAGGGAAGTGGAAGGTCCTGATTCTGGGGATGGCTGGGGGTGCCCCCACTAACCTACAGTTCTCAAGGGGCACACCTGGGCAGGAGCAGCTTGGAAGATGCAAGCCCGCCCCCAAGCGGTCACATGTCCTAACTGCAGCCAGCAACCCCGGCTCTGCTTCCCCAGGCTTGCTGGCCAAACCACACAGGAGGCATTGGCCATATAGGGCCCAGCTGCTACCAAAGTCTGGGTCTGAGAACGACATGTGCCCAGGCCAAAGGGAGGTGCTGGTTCTACACGGGTGAAAAATCATCAAAGAGCCACACACATGCAGACAAACCTCCGCCTTTTTCTGGATTCAGGAATGAGGATACATGTCCAATGAGATCAAAGAACCTGCCGCTCAAGGCCATTTCGCTTGTAAGCATCAGTCCTGGGCTGAGTCACGTCCATGTGGAGCTGGGTTTTCACCTCAGTCAAATGAGACCATTGGATTCTGCCGTGGCTGTTAACTGCCCCACAGAGCAGTCACCCAAGCAGCATCAATACATATCTGTGCTCCTGACCAAGACCTGCCGACTGAATCCCTGAGTGCAGAGGCAATGTCTTCAGCATGCCTCCCCAGCGAGACAAGGCGTGCCTCTTTGCTGAGAGCTGTGAACCAGGGAGCAGGGTTTCATGTCCTGGAGGCCCATGGCAGGTTTAATTCACTTTTTAATCCCCTAGTGCTGGTCCATAAAAAGTGATCGATACTATTTGTGAAATGAGTAAATGAACAAACTTGGGATGGAATAAATGATCCTGAGGTCCCCTCTAGTTTGGACAGCCTATAGATGTGTGACTCCTGTACACAAACAGGGTCCTACAGACACACAGATACCAATATGCACACAGGGCAAAGGGGACCCGGCCTGCCACCCTGCAGGTGGCCCCAGCTGCCCAGAACTGCCTGGTCCTCCCCTCCTCACACACTCACGGACACCTCCATCTGCATTGGCCCGTGTTTATTGTGCACCCATTGGGTGCATGGCCCAGCCCCGGGCTCTGGCCAGGCACCCCTTTTGGTCCCAAGGGGGTGGACCCTTGGTGCAGGTCCAGGCCCCGGAGCTGGTGACGAGCATGGACAAGAGGAGGGGGCCCAACAGGAAAGCCAAGGAGGCAGTGCATCAGCCAGCAGGAGGCGGGCAGGCAGCACAGAGGCCCTCTTGGCTGGCAGCCTGCTTGCACACTTGGCTGAACAGAGACAATGGTGGCTGCTCCTCCACCCCAGCCTCCTTCCCCGAGGCAGAGCCTCGCCCATGAGTGTCCGGAACCTCCCCAAGAGAACAGGCCCAGTTGGGTGGCAGCCAGAGGGCAGCACAGGGGACTCCCCAGGGAGGGCAGCAAAACCCCAAGTGGCTGCGGGTGGCAGGATGGAAAGGGTCTGGACGGTATCCTGACACCCCTCGGAAATGAGGGGATGGAGTGTGTGGAGGGGAGCTAGACCTGCACCTGATACCCACAACTCTCCTGAGACGTGGTTCCTGCACAAGGGCCCCCAAGAGAACACATCACCACCTCTCACCACTCAGCTTCTCCAAGGGCCCCTTGTTCCCAGGCTCCCACAGAGCTCTGGAGGCACCAACTCTCCACCGGCCTTCACTGACCACCATGGGCTCTGCTCTTTAGCAACTGGCACGGGAGGAGGGTGGGGCCCCTCTCATTTGCTGCTGCAGCTCAGATAGCTGTAGGGGAAAAGGAGATAGGCCCTAAGGGGGCAGGGCCTGAGTCACAGGAGGTGGGCTGGGGGCTCCCAGGGCCTCTCCCAGCACGTCTCCTGGCTCCCAGAGCAAGGTCATCCTCAGGGCTGCAGCTCTGCTTGCTTCAGTGCCCAGAGGCCCCTGCTGCCCAGGCCTCCTGGACACCAAGGGCCTTTGCATGCTCCAATCCTCAAACAAGCACTGAGGTGTCCTCAGGTCCAGGAAATAAGGCCACCCTGGATTCTGGTGAGTGGAGGGTGACATGGAACAATCTCTGGGGATGGGGCCAAATCCTTGAGCTCCTGCCTTCCTCGGGGGTAGCCAGGGACCAGGGGGCTGGGGTCCTGCCTGGGGGGTAGGCTCCAGCGAACAGAGGGGAATGAGGACCCCAGGGCCATGGGGCTGCCTTCAGCAGGGGTGGGCCCAGAAATACGGCCTCTGCGGACTTTCATCTCAAGTCCACCCCAGAGCCTGTGAGGTGGTGCTGGCTTCCTTCACAGCTGATTGCGGTTCCGCTTGGGGATGATCTTCCGGTAAGTTCTGCGCTCCGAGATGTTGCGCTTCACCTTGGCTGTGGTGGGGGCCTCATCCTGGTGCAGGGTTGGGCTGGAGTGGGACTTCTTCAGGCTGGGCTTGAGCTCCTGAGTGCCTCCAGCCTCCCTGCTCAGCTGCTCCTCCCACAGGCCCAGGTCATCCGAGGGGCAGTGCAGACGGGCCACCAGCAACTGCATATACATCTCGTAGCGCATTTTCTGCAATATACAGGCCCTGCCACATTAGACCCTGGCTCCAGGTCAGGAGGAGACTGGAATCGTGAAGGACAGACAGCTCTCACATATGAAGCTTTGGCAATAGAGACTTCTGCAGAAAGCAGGCTGCACCAACAGCTGACATCCGGATCATGCTGAAGCAGCCAGACTTTGCAGAGCGCAACAGTAAGGTAGGAGAACCCTGCAGTTATCTGGACAGTGTTATAATAACACCCATCAGCCCAACCCCACTCTAACTGCTAACACCTTGCAGTGCTGTAACTAACACCTCAACATGTCTGAGGCACTAAAAGATCCATAACCCGCTAGGCCTGAGATCTGTGCAGCAGGGCACACCAATGGCACACAATCTGTACGCAGCCCTAATTGAGTCTGAATAGCATTTTAACAATCCGCATCTGGAGAGCGAGATGCTAACTACTGTCATCTGTTAGCGCTTCTAAGGCCTATGGAACTAGCATCCTCAGACACAGCTCCCAGCTTACTAAGTGCCTTCTCATCCTCCACCTGCTGGATCCCCATCCCAGCCCTGGGAGGTTGGGTGGCACATGAATCATTGTCTGCTTTATAAAGAGGACTAGGGAGAGCTGGGGACCTGAGGGTCCCCAGCAGGTCAGTGGCAGAGAGAGGTGGAATTCTGCAGACAGAGCCAGTCCTAACAGCCACACCCCAGGGCCTCTGGGAAGTGGTGATTCAGTCAAGGATGCAACCAAAAAGCCAGAGGGCTGGGCCACCAAGGGAGGGAGGGGGCAGCCCCAGGGCCCCGTCAGGAGGTGGCACTGACGTTCCCTTCTGTGGACTCCTCCTCTGGATGGCCTCTGAACCCTGCTCTCACACTGCCCCTCACCTACGCCTCCTGCTTAGAGTCCTAGAAGGTGCACTGCCCCGAGGCCAAAGCAGAATTTGGGTGTGGGGTGGGGGCATTAGGGGACAAAGTATTCTGGCATCAATCACAGAGCCAATAAGGTCATTCCTTAGTGAAGCCCATAATGAGCTACATACATGATGAGAGGAGCATTTAAATTTATCTGATTTGGACAAGTGGAGTCTCTGTGTGCCTCAGTTTCCTCACCTGTAAAATGAGGATGATAGAGCCTACCCCGGAGTTGTTAGGTGACTAAGTAAGATAACCCATGCAAGTAAGACAAGCTCCATAAATGCTGCCTACTATTATTAGGTATGCATTAGGGGGAATAATTCAGCTGAAATGCAGTTTTTCCTTCAACTTACACAAAGTCAAATATACCCTCAGGAGAAGAAAAATTATAGAAGTAGCGTCCCCTATAAAAAAAAAAAAAGTGATCCAGACAGGCAGCTGCTTTGCGCCCACAGGACAGGACGAGAGATGCAGGGACTCCCTTGTGCTTTGGGCCCCATGTCCCGAAGCGCGCGGGGCGGCTGGAGAGCGAAGGCTGCAGGGGCCGGGGCGGCCACGAGGGGGCGGCAGAGGCCGCGCGGGCGACGCGAACGCGCCTCACCTCGTACTCCAGGTAGTCCTTCCGCAGGCGGTACTCCTCCAGTTCGCGGCTGCGGCCCCGTCGTCCCGGTAAGTTCCTCTGCAGGTCCAGCAGGCCGTCCGCGGCAGCGTCCAGGCAATTCTCATGGGATCGATGCTGCTCCTCCTGTGAGCGGCGGGAGGTGGGAGAAGCTGCCCCGCTGCCGCCCCAGGTGTGCGGTTCCATCCCGTCCTCCGCGGTGCAAGGCCGCCCTCCCGTCTCGGTGCACCCTCCCCGCCCACCCCGCCCCTTCGCGGCCGTACCAGGGAGCTCCGCGCGGGGCCGGCAGGCAGGATGGGCCGCACGAATCTGCGCTGGGAGCCCACCGCGGCGGGGAAGGGCGGCGCCGAGTGCGTGGCAGCGGCCAGGTTGATGCGGGAAACCCAGGAGCTCATGTCCTTGGCAGTGCTGCGGGCAGAGGAGGCGGGGGCCCGAGGCCAGGGTGGGCCGTGGCCCTGTCGCCGCTCCTTTGGCCCGCAGCCCTCCCACCCCCAGGACTAGGCCTCAGATAGCCAGGAGCCCTAACACTAGGAGAGGTGGTTGCCCTATGCCCGGCTTTTCTCCTGGGTCAAAGGAAAATCTGGTGACCAATAGATTTTACATGAAATGGGAAAAAAACGATCAATTGTGTGTGACTTCCTAGAACCCTCTGTTCAGGACGGGAGGCCTGTCCAGACTTAAAGAGGAGGAGGCTGATACTTGAGCAAGAGGGCAGGGAAAGGGAGCAGGAACCACCTGCTTCCTGTGTGCGGCCCTGAGACCCCCTCCAGCTGCAGCACTCTGAGGGGTCCAGGCAAGGTGGCAGCTCCACAGGGCAGGCAAGCAGCCATAGGAGGGCGAGTGGGGTGGGGGTGGGGCGGTGCTGGGAGGGGGAACCTAAGTGCCTGTCTCCCCAGGGACTTACGGTGCCTGGAAGAGGTAGAGGCGCCAGTCAGCCGTCCGCAGCTGGAAGACATGTGGCTTCTTGGTGTAATGGGTGGCTGGGGTGGCCAGTGAATGGTGCACCCCCACAGGCTCATCTACCATCAGCCCCAACAAACTCTGCCCCTCAGGGCAGTGGTCCTGTCCCTGCCACAGGCACAGGAGTTCAGAAAAGTGGTTTTCATGAGTTGCTCACGGTCCCAACCAGCCAGGCCTTTCCCTGCTCTCCACCCCGCACATCAGGCATGAGGACACCCGCTACCTTCAAGAAGTAGAGGACCATCCCTCGAAGCAAGGTGTGGAACATCTTCCAGCCGCGCTTCCCCCACGGTGCTGCCCCAGGAGCAGAGATCACAGGTGGGCGGTAGCACTCCATCCAGGCACACACGGTCCCCCTCTCCCGCCCCTCCTCCCAGGCGCACATACACACGCAGATGCATGCCGGCACCACCAGTCCCACACTGGGTCTCACACGTACAAGCTCACTTACACACCAAAGCAGGATGACTTGCAAGCAATGACAAAGTGAATGTTCCTACAGACCATCCCCCTCCAAACACACCCACCCACAAAGCACAGGCCCACTCAGACATCTTCCTGTCCCATCCAGAGAGAAGCAGTGCCTCGGGTCCTTGGGCAAAAGAAGCCTGCTTCTCTGTGGTCACCCCGGGCTTGCTCAGGCCCTTCTCACAGCCCAGTACTACCTCCCTGGCTGGTCGCCGCACCCTGTCCCATCTAGGGTGCTGTGACTGCCTCATGTTGCCACCCTGCCTTAAAGCCTCCAGCCGTGGGGAGTGAGGCCCAGATGCGTCTAGCCATTCTCTTCCACACACCCTGTGTCAGCAGCAGAGCAGGACTGCTCTTTTCTATGGGAAATGCCCTCTGCCCAACTTTAAATACCCAGGCCCTCTCTCCCTCCAAGGCTTAGCTCAGATACCTCGGTTTCCCAGAAGGCTTAACCATACCTGACCCCAACCCCCACCCACCAAACAAAACTGCCACATGCCCTGCCACTCACACTTATGCTAGCCCTGTGCCAGCAACTCCTGTGAACCCACATGCTGTGCTCATCTGGTCCCCACCTCCCCACAGGGCTCTGGGGACAGGAACGCCTAGATCTGTCTTGCCTCTGCATGCCTGCCCCTGGCACTTACTCAGCACCCAGCACAAGGTCACGGTCAAGAAAGGAACACAGCCTTCCCTTGACTGCTGCCTCTGCATTCCTGTGCACACATGGGCCCATGCCCCTGAGCAGAGCTGTTCCATACACGCCCTAGTCTGGTGGCAGACCTGTGCCCCCACATGGCACACACTCACTCTTCTTGCCATCTGCATCCTGATGCATCTTCCGAGCCAAGATGCCCTGCTTGTAGGTGGGCACCGTGGGGTCCTGGGCCAGCTGGAGGAAGGGGTTGACTATCTTGCCAGCAGGGGGAGAGAGCTGGGCCTTCTCAGGTCCGGCTGCATCTTCGTCATCTCTGGACATCAGGAAATCAGTCTGGGGGTACTGATTGGGCAAAGGCCACCAGGAGTGCCTGCAGCCTCAGCGTCCCCACCCCCTCCTCTTGCTGGTGAGCCACACCACAGAGCCCCCCAAAAGAGTCCTTCAAAGCCAACTCATCAATTCCAATCATCCTGATTCCCACCCCCACGCCAGCCTCTGCTCCTCCAGGTGTCACCTGGCCCCTCCACCCTCTCAGAAGGCCCACCCCTGCCTCTGGTTTGCCCCTCTCAGTGGGGAGCGCTGTCCAGGGCCCTGAACTTCTCCAGCTTTCAGGCAAATGGGTGGATGAAGGACAGGCCCAGAGACCGGGGAAAGGGGCAGAGGGTGGAGAGGGTGGGGAAGAGGGGCTCTCACTTACACGGCCCACTCGAGCTTCTCACTTCGGATGGACCAGTAGAGGGCCTAGAAGAAGCACACGGAGGGACAGGGGTGCCTCAGGAGTGGGGCTCAAACTCCATCTGGCAGAGGGGGGACAGGGGCCTGCTGCAGCTGCCTCCCCTACCTCCAGCAGATCTGCCCCTCTTCCACGAGCAGGAAGCCACTCACACATGCAACAGTTAACAGAGCATTTGCTATGAGCTGGGTGCTGGGGACACAAGGATGGTCAAAGCAATCCTAAGCCCCACCTGAGCTTAGCAAGGCTTGGTCTAATCACCTGCCTGCCACTCTGCCGGGAGGGATGTCAAGGCAGGAATGGCTGGCTGATGGGGGCTAGAAATGTACAGTAAGTGAATGGATAAGTGGGGCGCTGATATCAGAGTATTAATGCAGCTGCATCTTGCTTTGTAGCCCTGGCACTGGCTTCCTAACAGGATGCCAGACACACAGTAAGTGTTCAATAAGTGTTCACCAACCAGACCACAGACAAATGCTGTATGTAACTGCATATGAAAAGCATGATGTGTGCCAAGCACTGTGCTGAGCACATAACAAACTTTATTTCGTCATGATGACAACGCTGTGAAGTGGGTACTACCCCTCAGAGGATCTCAAGTGAGCCAAGGGGATAAGTTGCCCAAGAATAGAATTTAAATCCTGGAACATCTGGCTCCTAAGTCCTAGCTCTGGACTTGGGCCACTAGAAACTCTGCCCCTTGTTCACTCAGAGAACCCAGACAAGTGCTTCTCAGATTGCACAGGCTTAAGAATCACCTGGATGCACCCTTAACAGAACATTTTAGTGACCCCAGCCCCAGAGCCTCAGACTCAGTAGGTCACAGGCCTGTGAGTTTGCACAAGCTAACAAATGCTGATGCCCGCTGGCCAGGACCCACACTTTTAGTATCTTTCAGTAAGCAAGCCCTGTCCTCTCAAGAGGATTTCAGCAGAGCCAGGCCTGAGCTCAGCATTCCTTTGGAATAAGGAACCAAGGCTCGGGGCCCTAAACAGGGAGCCCACCCAGGGTCAGGAGCCGTACCTTCAGCAGCTCCTTGGGGAAGTTCCCACCATCCCGCAGGCCATTCAGGTTGGTTACAAATTCCTGGCAGCTCATGCTCTTCCCGATGTTCTGTGGCCATAGAGACACATGGAGCAGCTGGCACACACTCAACAGCCCAGTGGAATAACCAGCTCCCTCCACCAGCCACTCTGGAACCTTCTCCAGTTCCCCAGGCCCATACCCCAGGGCCCTTCCCCGAG